AAACTGCTTAAATACGTCGTTAACACAACAGGGCAGCGAAATCTTTTCTTTTTCTTGAAATGTTTCCTCATTCATTTTATTCTCATATTTTTTTATATCAAATAATAGACATCTAGGAATTTAATTTGATATAATATTCATCCCATTTGGTTAAGGAACGAAGGAGTTATGAATTTTTCAAGCTCCAAGTGACAAGCTGCCAACACAGGCAGTTTCGGGTACTGTCCATTCATACTGAAACTGGGCATGATCTAGCACTTTGAAAAATCTCATATTTTAGGAAAAGAAACTACACATCTCAAGCTTTAATTTTATACCTCACATGTTCTATTTGTTTAAGAAATAAGTGAGATACGCCCTTTTAATTTGGGCTAAAATATGAACACAGTTTTTCACAGCCAGAACCATGTTTACTATTCTGACCACGAATTCCTTATTTCTTATTGGATTTCTCTGAAATTTTATTATGTTATAACAGACTTGTGTATCTTTAATTTGGAATAAGTCCCACTAAATTTAGAGTCCTACAGCTCATATTATAAATTTTGCAATACAGAATTCAGATTTTAATCTATTAGGATTTGTGCACTATTAACAACTCAATCTTGTTTCCTTTAACTTCAGACCAACAAACAACCACCAAAGAACATTAAACCACTTTAAATAACATCTTAGGATCGTGTTTACACGTAACCCTAATCAGTTTTAACCCACTTCATAAATTCATTTTAAACCATCAAAGTTTAGGCCTTTTACCTTATATAGCTTCCTAAATACCTCATCAACACTTTCCAAGCTCTAATCCTTGAAGAACACTTGATTTTCTATCAACCATGAACTGGGGCATTCACCTTTAGAGAGGATTATATCAAGATATAAAGCTCTCCAAGAAGAAATAATAGAGGGATTTTGATCACAAGATCAAGAGCTACAAGTTTTGTGTTAGAACCTTGACCTAAAAATGGTTAGAAGATGAAGTTCTCAAGCTTTCCTTGGCTTCCATGGTGTCACGATTGGAGAAGAGAAGGAGTTTAGATTTTGGGTCTTAGAAGATGAAAGAACCAACCCAATATGTTGGAAAAGAATATTTTATTGGTTCTATGATCTTTAGACTTTCAACTCTTATATATTCTTATTGGTTAGAAACTTATTCAACTATTCTTTATGACCAAGTAGTTGAATTACTTTACTTGTCTCCTTTTAACATTCAAACTTAAATCCTATTGAACAATTTATTCTTACGACTTTCAACCTTAATAACTATTGGCTAATTTCTATCAATCTTTGACTTCCTTGACTGTAGCCTTAATATGATCATAAGGTCATCCAATATGTTTAGGAATTTTACTAGTTTTCATAACTTACAAAGTCTTAAAGATTTTACAATTACTTTGACTTAAAACAATTTCTATTGGTTAGTAATTATCCAGGCTTTGACCAAATTTTAAGAATTAATCTAGGCATCATTTGATTAAAAAAAATCATTTCTTTCACATAGAATTCCACAAACAATTTAATTAAACAATCAAAATCAAGTTTAGACCTAGTTTCGCTTGTTTGCAAACGAGTCCTTAAACTTTCACATAATTATACTTTGACCCCAAATCTTTTATGTTAATTCCATTAGGATTCTATTTGACTTGTTTGGCATGAACTGTATCCTTCGCTTAATTATTATGTAGTTTACATGATTTACCCTCACCGTTTCCTTGAAAAGTGTTTAATTCACTTAAACACTAAACTAGTTCACTGTAACCTATTTTGACAGTGAGAGTTGTTATACTTGTGATACCTCGTTGAAAAGCTAGAATAGTCTAGTTTAGCATATCAAAAACCGTAGGTATCTCATGTTGAAAAAATGTCGAATTGGGTAATTTAGCTTTGTTGGTTTATGGGAACCACTTAGCTGCTGAAAATACTTTTTGTATGATGTTAAGCCATAGTATTTTTGTTCCACAATAATAATTCAGTTATGATCACAGTTTGTAAAATGTTTTAATATGGTTGTTTCAAAAGTGCGAATGTTATAAAAAGCAAAAAGTTTTTTCGTATTTTTAAATGAACTGCTGTGATTGTAATTGCGCTGAATATCATAATTGATGATAACATACCGGTCATGAACGAGTTGTTACACACACCACCCCATTAGCTTACACCGTTATCAATTGTGTACAGTCACATTCTATCTCTAGAGATCTATTCCATAGATACCTTAAGAGAGAGTCCGGTCATGTATTGATCTGCTAGTCTAGGGCTAAACATCTCTGTCATACAGACAGAACAGGTTGACACCGAGGTAACTACGCTACGCTGCTCGCAGGGAGAACACATGAAAATAGAACATGTTTTGTGCTTCTTTTGCCATCTCTTATATTCACATTTAATATTTTTAATTATTACTTTATCTTTATATCTTGAAGTTAATTACTTTATCTATATAAAGTAACAAATATTGTGAAAAGAATTGTGTCAGGAACTAGAAAATATTGTGTAAATTTATAAATCTAAATTAAAATTTTAAATGCACTTATTCTTGAATAAATTTATTATAATTAATGAAAATATATCCATATATAAAAACTTATCATTATATATATATATATATATATATATATATATATATATATATATATATATATATATATTCTTTAATAAATTTTGTGTGTGTGGGATAAAGATTGTTAAGCGAACATTAAAACCACACAAATGAAATAAATTTAGGGAATTGGGTTTGAAGGCATGTATAATTTTTTATTTATGCATCAATAATTCATTAAAATTTAAGTCGTGGATTTGTTTATCCACGTTTATCAATGTTTGCATCTTCTACTTCTTCCATTTTGTTTTTCTCCTATCCTTTAGGCTTTAGGCTTTGTTTGGGAGTTAGTTTTTGGAGGGGAAGGAAGGGGAGGGGAGGGTTTTATTAATCCCTTCCCTTGTTTGTGAGTTAGTTTTTGGAGGGGAAGGAAGGGGAGGGGAGGGTTTTATTAATCCCTTCCCTTGTTTGTGAGTTTAAAAAAATAGAGAAAGGGAATTGGGGATTTTTACAAAATCCTCCAAAACCCTTCTCACCCTTAAAATTAAAGTCCCCCCAATTTGGGGGGTTTAAGGGGGAAAATATTAAAAATTACTTATCTATCCTTAGCATTAAAATGTAAAAACTACATAAATATGAATCATTTTTAAATGTGACATTATTATAAAAGTCTCTAATATTGATAGAATTTATCGACGAAAAATATTTCGTCGAAAATAGTGACGAAATTTTTGACAAAAATCACATTATGTCAAAAATAGAGACGAAACAATATTTGGCCATATTCACTGACATAAATTTTTTCGAAAAAAATACAATTAAAATAGAATCTAAATTCCGTTGAAACTTTCAACAGAAACATTTCTATCGAAATTTTTTGACAGAAAACAATTCCGTAAAAAAATGTGTCGAAAATATTACAGTCAAATTTTTTTACGAAAAGTATTTCCATCAAAATTTTCAACGGAATACATTTGCAGTGAAAATTTTTGACGAAAAATATTTTTGTAAAATATTCAGATAGAAATTTTTTTTTTGTGAAAATTCTTTACAGAATCTAAATTCTGTCAAAATATTTGACAAAAAAACATATTCGTCAATATTTTCGACGAAGAATATTTCCCTCTAAATTTTTAACGAAATACATTTTCATTGAAATTTTTTCGTAAAAAGCTTTGACGGAAAATATTTCTGTAACAAAAATTTGACGAAAAAAAATTCGTTAAAATTCTTTACAGAATCCAAATTTCGTTAGAAGTTTTCGACGAAAATATTTTCGTCATACTTTTTGGCGAAAAAAATTTCTGTTGAAATTTTCTACGAAACATATTTTCCTCGAAAATTTTTGACGAAAAATATTTTCGATAAAAAAACATTTCTATCAAAATTTTCAATGGATCCCATTTCTTCAAAAAGTTTCGACGGAAATTATTTTCGTAAAAAATTCAACGAAAAACATTTCTGTAAAAAAATTTGACAAAAATAATATTCCGTCAAAATTCTGTACAGAATCTAAATTCCGACGAAAGTTTTACAGAAACATTTCCCTCAAAATTTATGAAAAAAATATTTCCGTTGAAATTTTCATTGAGACATATTTTCATCGAAGATTTTTAAAGAAATTCTTTTTTTCGTCAGAACTTTTGATGGAATTTTTTTCGTCGAAAATATTTAACAAATCATTTTCATCAAAACTTTTGACGAAAACTAAATTTTGTCGGTAATGTTGACTGAAAGTTTATTTTTGTAAAATATTTCTTTGGATAAAAATTTCATTGCCTTCGATGAAAAGTATTACGACGGAAAAATATTTTTTTGACAGAATTTTTGTCATTTTCAACGTAGAATTTTCGTTGAAATATGATCTTTTTTAGTAATGTGAAAAATACATAAATAATTTTGTTTAGTAATTTCATATTTAATTTTATTTCTAAAATATAATAATTATATTATTTTTTACAAAAAAGGTAAAATTTTAAAAATATCTCATTTGCGCTCCAATTTCTTCCTTGCCATTTTTTTAACTCCCAAACAAGGGAAGGGAATACCTTCTAATTTTCTTTCCTTCCTTCCCCTCTCTCCCCCTTGGATCCCCTTTCTTCCCTTCCTCTCCAAACTTCCAAACAAAGCCGTAGTGAACATTAAAGGCAAAGATGAATGTGTGGGATAGTGTTATCAAGTCATTCACGAATGGTAATTATTTTAAGGAAAAAGTATTTATCATTTGAAATCACACAACTTGTGTTATTTCACACTCACAAAGAGATGAGATTCACACCTTAATTTTTTTTTTCCAAACTCTCTCTCTCTTTTTATTTATTTTTTTCTCTCAGTTAAAATGAGATACACTTTTCCCTTATTTAAAAGAGCTCTGTCATCCTTCCCCTTTTTTCTGTCCCCTCTTCCATTTCCCCTCACTCCACCACTTTGCCCTCGCCCCTAGCACACAAGTTCCGTCCCCAACATGTCTAGCCCACAAGTGAAGAGCATTGTCCACATCAACCGCACCAAACTCGTCGTACCAGCGGATCAATACCCACCGAGGCATCCATTCCTAAAGGTGCTGAGGATAAGCTTCACAGACAATGATGCTACCGACTCCTCCAGCGATGAAGAAGAAGTGTTCGAAAAGAAGTGCGTGAATGAGAATATTTTTGAGAAGCGCACCAGCCAAAATGACGGCACAATTTCGAAAAGGAGAAATAGGAGCACCTTAAAAAAACATGCATCTTCCTCCTCTGCCACGAAGTATCGGGGAGTGAGGCAAAGGCTATGGGGAAAATGGGTTGCTGAGATAAGAGATCCATCACAACGAAAACGGTTGTGGTTGGGCACCTATGACACAGCTTTGGAAGCTGCCGTGGCCTACAACAACGCAGCCATTAAGCTGCGTGGACCTGATACGCTCATCAATATCTTACCGCCACCAACCGGGATCATGTGCTCGCCGGAAAATACAAACCCTCAGGCACCTGAAACTTCAGCCACAACAATCGAGGGTTAGACACATCAGCTGACAAATTTGTTGTCATGTTATTTAGTCATATGTCTTTATATCAGCTTGTTTTGGTTTTTGGGCAACTATGTAGGATAATTTAAGAATTCGCTGTATGTAAAACCGCCTGAGTTTGTTTAAGAGAAAAGGTTAGTATTGAGAATGGTTTCAATTCAAAAGTTGTTGAAAAAAGGAGATCTTTGTGAATGTTTTATCATATTATGATCTTTTGATTAAAAGCACAATGTACTTGATATGTTAATGTTTATAAAATTTACACTAACTTACCAAAAATAAAAATTTACATTAATTCAAGCATTATTTCCATTGTCTAAATTTGAGATCTTTCCATAAGACAGACTTTTCTTTTAGTAGAAATATAGAGATTTTTAATTGAAAAATATTTGTTTTCAATATTATTCTCTTTATATGAACTTCTTTAGAAGCTAAAAATTTATAACTTCCTAAAAAAAGGATCGAACGGAATTTTGAAAGAGATTTTTCTTTCAAAAAGGAAAAAAAATACAAAATAAAAGACTTGTGTAATCGTCACTCAAGTGAAATGGATGATATAAAAAAGAAGGCCTAGGGCTACGACTCAAGTTTTATATTTTTTATTTATTAACTAATGTCTAGAGTAAATTTAACTAAGATATTAATCAACCGACTATATATTTCAAAATTAGGTTTTTACCCTTGAAATTTATTTTTAACAACTAAATATTAATATAATCAACATGAGAATCTTCTACGTGGCATTTACCCACAAATGATAATTTGCATTCAAAATGATGTTTTGTAGATTTTCTACATTTATTAACAGTACAACATAGACGGTATTGAAATAAGATTTTTTTATTCATCGCTAGATGCACGGAAATTAACTATTAAAATTTAGTGTAAAACTTATTATTGTTATACGTGTATAAGTTGATTTCTAACTCATATATGTGCATGTATGTGTGCGTGTCTCTGTCTAAATAGATAAAATGGAAGATATATAAAGACATATATATAACGGCTTTGATGATCAAATCAATGGACTGAAACCGAGGTAATTGCCTTGGTCATAGGGAATATATAACACCCCATCTGGAGCTGAAGAATTATCACTTGTAATGGTATTATGCGCATCATGTTTAATTAAATAAACATGAAAGTTAATTAAACAAATTCACGATTAGCAATATAATCAAATGTTAATAAATTTTTTACTTCTTCCTTATGTATTGCAAAATGTGGAATAATATCAAACGCTCTCATCATAAATCATGTTGCCTAGCCATCGACAGCGTAGGACTTACATACATAACATAGTCTCAAATAATAAATAACATTTTAGTACATCAAATGACCAAAATAACACAAATGCTTAAGTGACATAAACTTTTACATTTTCTTCAACAACAATAAACACATTATTACATGATGGCATATAGACAACCTTTATGCTCTCAACACTCTCAACAACATAACACCATGTCTTATACAAATACATATGATGAATCTACATAATAGCAATAAAATATCTCATGTAATGCAGTATCTTTATCCGAGCCTCCTGCTCTGAGATGCACTAATCCCATCGGTTTCAGTACCTGAAATATGGTCCCCACACGAGGTGATATAACAATATCAGTAAACTAGGGGTCCTTAAAGGATTTCTCTCTGCCCCAATGTTCACTTCAGATGTAAAAGCAATAAATCAGACATATTATAATATATATATATGGGGCAATATCATCTTACACCGGTGTAAGAATAATAAGTCTTACACCAAATCTTAATCATTGATTTTCTGCATCGAACGGTTAAGACTTATTAGGTATCACTAATTAATTAATTTTTAATTCCCAATAAATCTCAACCGTTGGATGCACGGAAATCAACGGTTATGATTTGGTGTAAGACTTATTATTCTTACACTGGTGTAAGTTGATCCTACCCCTATATATATATATATATTGCAATGCACATAAACTCAAGCATATCGTTCCCCTGGCTATCAACCGTCATATGAACTCTCAATCATTCCCAAGCCCTCGACTGTCACAGGAATATAAACTGATCAAGCAATTCTCCAAACCATGGAACATCACAAGAATGCTCAGATTAATCGGTTCCCCAAGCCCTCAGCCGTCACAGAAACTAAGATCAATAACATGGCCAAGGATCCCATTAAGTATGAAACATACATAAAGTATCATCCAACATATATATCCAACAAAACATATGCACATGACATGCATTATATCATACTTTGTGCACTTACATACACCACATATAAACCACTACTCCCCTAAGAGCATGGTGAAACAAACAGGGGATAAACCCCAATGATCGAAAGTTTACCTGTCAAAACAATGTCCTCCAAGTTACTTTTGGTATCCAAGAGGCTACAACCGCAGTCCCCTCATAGTATCACAACCTATTTCACAGATATAGTGTCAATTAGCATATACATTAATCTACCACGTTCATTTCAACATTTTCCTTGAAGAAAAATCCAAAAAAACTAATTTTATTAGCGTATTCGGCACTAAATCAAACCTCCAACAATGGAAAGTGTATGAACCCGTACCGTTAATTAAGGAAATTAAGTAATTAATTATGACAAATTAGGAAATGATTCCATAATTGACCCTAATAATTATTAAGAGGATATAATAATTATGTTAAGTGATTAAGAATGTTGAAGGTCGCTTTTCGGAAGAAAAATGCAGATACCGGTTCTGCTAGTCGATATAAATGCGTACCGAAAAAGTATCCCGAAAAATTATAATAAGTGCATGATAATTACTAGAATAATATGTAGGACTTGTAAAACAAGTTTCAAGTCAAAATAATGAGAACTGGTGCCAGAAACTGATACTGGCTATGAAAAGCGCGTACCGGAAAGGTGCTCAGAAAATTATAAGAAAAATATGATAATTCTTGTAAAATTGAGTAGGTTAAGAATCCAAAGTTTGGGATTAAAATGCTAAGCGTAACAATTAAAGTTAATATTGCGTGTTTAAGTGTGAGTGGGCTATAAATACTCTTATTATGGGCACAAAACCCTAGACTCTTCAGCCTTCTACGTGACTTTTGCTGGTGTGTGAGCTCTCCTTGCTGCCACCTTCATTCTTGGTCATTCTTGCTTGGTTTTGTGTCAAGTCTTCACATTTTCTTCTCTTTTTCATCATCTAAACACTTGGTTGGAGTGAGGGTGAGCTTGGTGAGTGAAAAGGACAGTCATTTTCTGAGTTTGGGGACTGTTTTGAGGAATCTTGAGTGCTGACTTGGTTGGTGGATTTGTTAGAGCCTTTGCAATGGCACTTGGTGCACCAATGTGTGATATTTGAGTGCAAAGAAACTACCTTCGAGTTCATTTTCGTGTTCTTGGTGAAGTCAGAACCATTGGGGTTGGTAGTGAGCATCCCTCCTTTTCTGTTTGAAGCTTGGTTGAGTGGTTCAACCTTTGATCATGAGTCTTTGAGCTTAAAAGTGGAACCTTGATGCATGTAATGGTTAAAAGATGATAACCTAACTTGAGGTAATGCCAAACACACCTAGAAATGCATGTTTATACTTCTGTAATCGGTAAAAATGGTACCTTTGAAGGATATCTTCGCGAAATGCAAAAACTGCATTCTGTTGCGAAATATCCGGATATTTGCCCGTGAAATATCCGGATATTTGCCCGTGACATATCCGGATATTGATATCCGGATATGAATATTGGGATATTGATATCCAGATATGGTAATCTGGATATCTGGATATTGATATCCGGATATTGCCAGATGGATATCCGGATATGCCCCGAGGAATATCCGGATATTCTGGGATTTCGGAGAATAGTAGCTGTGCTGTGTGTACAGTAGGCTATTGGGGGTTTGTGGACCCTAGATTGATGAAGTTGAACTTCTATTATTATTGAACTAAGTCATAATCATGTGATTAAGGGTTTGTGGCTTCGTTGGAAGCCTTGAGACGTAAATCGTTAAAGGAGAACGTAGTCTTTATGTTAATGCTTTTGAGCTATGTATGTTGATATACTTGCTGGTCCTAAATCAGATTATGATCTGCTGTGTGTTGGACTTGAGCTGTGAGGACTCCTGGCTTTGGATAGTGAGCTTGCAAGGTAAGCTTTCGTGTCCTCGGTTTAGCCATGTTGTGGTTCCACCATGTCCCATGGAGGTATGGTTATATGCAAGCTGTGTTACATGCTTTTGATGTTTTAGAAATGCTATTGAGCTGTTATATGCTAGTGCCTTTATGATATGCATGTGGTGTTCCACCTATACGGTAAGCCTGAGTATGTGGTACATACAATATGGTGAGGCTGTGGGTGAGGTGCAAGCGGTGTTCCTTGTACTACATGTAGGTATAGACGTATTCCTGCATTTCTCTGGCCAGTAGAATAGTGATAAACACACATGGCATGAATATCTGTTGCACTGCATAGTTTTGGAACTGATATTGATATAAATGCTTTTAGAACTTATATTGCACATGTAAGTGAGACTGGGGTGGAAGATCCTTGAGAACCCATTGTCTTACTGAGATTTCTTGTTTAGAGATCTCACCCCACGTTTGGGGAATGCTTATTTCAGGTTCGGATAATGTTGAGACCTCAGGCGGCAGGAGGCCGGAGCTGAGTTAGATATTGATGATATTATATGCTGACTTGTTGGTTGCTGGATATGCATGCTGCTTTTATGCTTTGAGCTTCATTTTATGTTTACGATTATCTTGTTGAGACGCTGTTGATTTGGTGAGCATGGGGATTGTCCATGACACATAAACTAGTATGTCTTAGTTTGATTTGGAGTTGTAATAATGTATCAGGATATTGTCCGGACTACGTGATGTAGATCTGTGATTTAGATACTCGCTTTATTTATATATATTGAGGATTTCAGTATATGTCTTATTGCAATTTACATTCAGGCGATATTTTATGAAATTGATTAAGTAATCAAGTTGGTAATTGATAATGACGTCATAATTGAAAAGAAAAAGAA